GCCAAGGGAGCGCTGAGCGGGGGGGGGGACAATGACGGACCCCCCAGACCCCACTGTGGAGCCTGGGCCCTGCCCCAGGGACCCCTGCGGGGTGCAGGGCCAAGCACCGCCCCATTGTCCTGCCATTCAGCACCACCACCCTCCCGGCAGCAGCCCCTCCGGCACACCCACCTTGCCGAACCAGTGCGAGAGCCAGAGCTGCTTCATGGTCATATGGTCTGGGAGCACCTCGCCCTCAAAGAGCAGCTGCACCTAGGCACGGACAACACCCACATCAGCACCTGCCCTGGCCCTGGCCCCCCCAGCCTGAGCCCCGGCCCCGGCCCCGGCCCACTCACGTGCTGCAGCGCCAGCCCCAGGCGGTGGCACAGGACCCGGCGCAGGTGCCGCACCTGAGCCCGGACGGAGCAGCGCACGTACTTCTGCTGCGGGAGTTAAGGGTGGGTTAGGACATCTGTCCCCAGCCCTCAGCCAGGCCTGGGGCAGGGACCCAACCCCAGACACACTCGGCCTGGGAGGGCCCAGCACTGCTCCCCGCCGCAGAAACCCCCACAATGCACCAGTGCAGCCACCCCCACGACACCCTCCCACTGAGAGTGGCACCGTGTTGTTGCCCAGCGTTAGCAGCCCCCAGCCCATCACCGGCAACGGCAGGGAGGGAACCCAGGAGTCCTGAGGCCCGGGCCCCGCCGTCCCCAGCACCAGTGCAGGCGCAGGGCGCCAGTGCCCCCTGCTGGTCACTGCCGCACACGCAGCCCAGGCAGGGACCCCCCCCCCAGCCCCCAACTGCAGGCTGGACACTCACCTGCAGGACGGCCTTGCTCTTGTCCTTGCCGGTGCTGGGGACAGAAAGCCAGGCCAGCTGTGAGGAATGGGGAGGGGGACACTGGCGGGAGGGGGGCAGGCACCTTGGTCCCCTCTGGCCCATCCATGAGGACGGGCCTGAAAAAGAAAAAACTAAAGGAGGGCAGGGGCTGCAGATCGGGAGTGAGAGGCATCAGCAAGACTGGAGGGTGAGCACAGCCCCCTCCCTCGGGCGGGGAGTACTGGGCGCGGGTGGGTAGGGGCTCACCAGGCTGCTGCCAGTGCCGGAGCCGGCAGCTGAGCTGCGGCATCGATCCCGTTACAGCTCCCAAGGGCGCAGCATTGAGTGTGTCAGAGCTGGCAGGCAGCTGCCCCCCCCCTGGCCCTCCCCCCCCCCAGCACCGGCTGGGGGGGGGGGGGTGGGGGGGGGGGAGCCCGGCCCTGAGCCCCAGCACAGCACCCCGAGTGCTGCCCCCCGACCCCAGCACTGACCTCTGCTTTTCCAGGCACAGCGAGACGTGCTCGTCGTAGCGGAAGTAGTGGGCGCGGGAGTGGTCGAAGCTGCTGTAGGGCAGCCCCATGGGGTCACCCCCTACCGGGTCTGTGGAGGGACACGCCGTGAGCCCCAGCCCCACCCTCGCAGCCCACAGGGCCGGAGGGCACTAGGCAGGGCCCAGGGCCACATCCCAGGTTGGAAGGGGCCTGGCAAGGCGCAGCCCCAAAAGGCCCGGAGCTGGCGCTGGCGGCAGCCTTGCCCACCCCCCCAGCCCTGTCTGCATCGCACCTTCACTGCCCAGCTGTGCCACCCGGTCCAGGCCGCGCGACTGGTAGAACTCGCGGATCCGCTTCTCTTCGTCTGTAGGGGGATGGAGACAGGATCAGCCCTGGCCCCGTGACGGCCCAGGGCACAGCCTGCCCTGCTGGGGCCCGCCCCCGGCAGCCCCGCCCGCCACTGGCCCTGCCGGCCCGGAGAGCAGGGGCAAAGCGACAGGCCGGGGCCAGGAGGGTCCTGGAGGAGCGAGGCCCAGGGGTGGCCCCGGCAGCCCCCCACCCACCCCAGCCGGGACACGCACTCTCCTGCAGGCCAGGCACCAGCTTGTAGACGATGTCCTGCATGACGCGGTCCAGCTTGAGGTTGAGCAGCGGCTGCGTCTCGTGGATCTTGGTGTTGCACATGGGGCAGTACTTGCTGGTCTGCAGGTACTTCACGATGCAGCTCTTGCAGACTGCGCGGGACGGGGTCAGCGCCGGCCACGGCCCCCCCTGCCCTGCCCTGCCCGCCTGCCCCTGCGCCCAGCTGGGCCGCGCCGCAGCACGATGCTGCCCTCTCCTGGCAGAAGAGGCGCGCGGCCGCACAAGACAACCCGGCGCGGGGCTGGGACACGCCAGCCCCCAGCCCCAGGAAGGGGGGGAAGGAAGAAGGGATCCTCCAGCCCCAGCCCCAGCCCCATGGCCCAGCCTCTGCCCCTGCTCATGCTGGCAGAGCCCCCAGGGCTGGGCGCTGCCCTGGGGGAGTCCCCGACAGCCAGCCCCACTCACAGGTGTGCAGGCACTCGGTGATGGTGGTGGCGTCGATGAAGTACCCAGCGCAGAGACAGCAAACGATGTGCTCGTTCAGCTCCTTCATCTTCACCTTCACCTCCTCCTGCAGCACATGGCCGTCACCAGGAGCCCGAACCCACCGGTCCCACAGCCAGGCGGGGGGGGAGAGGCCCCTATATCCCCCACCCTGGTGCCCTGCACCCCTGCCCCCCCACCCCAGTGCCCCCCGCTCCTGCCCCGCATCCTCAGGGAGGTCTCAGGCAAGGCTGCTGCCAAGACCGCCAGCCCCCGCAGCTCGGCCAGCCGGGCCCCGCCCTCTGGCCCCCCC